TTCCTGCTGCGGAATTTCCTATTAGCGAAGCTTATAAACCCGAAGAGCAGCTAAGTAGCTTGACAGCTGGACAAATTCCTACGACAAAAGTCGAAGAGAGTACTGCGGATACATTCGATATCTTTGCCTCGAAGTTTGACAAGGCTGCTGAACAAGAAACCAGTACTGGAGATCCTTTCTTAGATGCCTTTGGTGGTGGACCTACTGCCATGGACACATCTAGCGATGGTAAATTTTCTATAATTTCTTATTTGTACTATAAGAAACATTTTTTAGAAGTTAAACCTATGTTTTCTTATTGTACATTTAGTTTGGGGTGATTCCTCTGCGACTGGATCAGAGACAGCGGTGACCGGATTCGGAGAAACTGATGGGTTTGATTCGTTCTTGAGTATGACTGCTCCTCCCCCAGAACCAACGGTAAAGCGAACCGAATCTGTTGAATCAGACGTGGGACCAGACTTTAGTGTATTCATTAAGTAAGTACTAATAGATCAGTACCAAATTCTGTTTTATGTATAACATTCGGTGTAAATGTTAACATATACATTGACTGTTCTGTTCTGTTTCCGCAGACCGAAAGAAGATGATCAAACTGGAATGATCGAGGGTGGAGCCGTTCCTGTATTAGCGCCACCGCCAAAAAGCCCGCAAAACACAGCTTATGTCGATACCTCTCCACGATTCAATCCCTTTGATAAGTCAGGATCCGCACAAGACGCTATCCCCACTACGGAAGCTGTTCAAGCTGCTGAAATCACCAGAACAGATTCTCAGGTATTATTTAATACTTTACGTTTTCTTTCTCAACGCAATTTTTCCTACTTTGTCATATACTTTAATTAGGAAACACCCCCAACTCCACTATTCGATGAGGATGTCAGTCAACCTCTAGAAGATTTCCCAAGAGTAACATACACAGGTGATGGCTGGGATATGCATCTACGTCAGCCTAACAAAAAGAAGATAACCGGTCAACGATTCTGGAAGAAAATTTTTGTGAAATTGGTTTATCAAGGTGACAATCCCGTACTCCAGTTATTTAACAGCAGGGAGGATAAGGATCCTTTTCAAGAATTACCTCTAGTTCCTTCGTATTCAATCTCTGATATTGGAGCACAGCAATTTGATCAATATGGGAAAATATTTACGGTGAAGTTGCAATACATATTCTATAAAGAACGACCTGGAGTTCGACCTGGCCAGGTGACCAAAGCAGAGAGGTTAACTAATAAACTCAGCCAGTTCGCCGCATACGCCATTCAGGGTGATTATCAAGGAGTGAAGGAATTTGGAAGTGATCTGAGAAAACTTGGTATTCCTGTCGAACATGCGCCGCAGGTATGATTACTTTTTACATAGAAAATATAGATATAAATAAACGTAAGTTCATTTTCATTAGATAACTGCGATTTCTCAATACAGATTTCTCAGCTTTTCAAGCTTGGTTCTCAGTGCTACGAGGATATGAAACAGTTCTCTAGTGCGATTGAAGAGGCTTTATTTAGATTACCTGCTCACAGAGATCGAGCGCTCAATTATAAAATGGAAGATGTACAAATAACAGTCGTTGATGAGCTATATGTAGAACAGAACGCGCAAGGTCAAGTTGAAAAACAAATAGCGCGTGTTCGATTATTTTTCTTGGGCTTCCTCTCTGGTGAGACCTTGCTAAGTTCTTAGGGTTATTTTACCACGTGCATTTGGGTTGAAATTTGAATTAACGATTAACTCGACTATTCAGGAA